TTTTTTCAGTTAGTCTCAAAGGTGCTACAAAAACTCTCCCTCTGAAAGTTCAGATTCATAGCTTGGGGTGCTCTTGGATCTAACCCTGGAAAGAGTGGCTGCTGTGATGACCAGAAGTACCTTTGCCCAGCTGAGCATCTGCTGCACCTTTCTTAAGGAAGGTAGATCTGGCCACATTTGTCCATGTGTTTTAAAAATGTTTTTGTGTTTGTATTGTTTTAATTGGCATTTAATTTGTTCATTGCATCATGGACTCTTGTGGGTTGGGAGATGGTCTAGAAATATTTGAAATAAATAAATAAATAAATATGCAGCACATCAATGAAATTACACATTTTAAAGATATTTTTGGTTTTGTAGAGGATTTCACCATCCATTGTATGATGGTGACAGCATTATAGTTTGTGACATTTTACAGTGGCTTCTATACACCATTCTATTATTTATTTGTTGTCTGGCAAAACATATATTGATATATTTGTTTAGAATCATAACATAGTTCTTTATTTCAGCCTCATAGTATAACAGACAGGTTTTTCCTTTATAAAAGGAGATGAAATATAGTAATGTCTCCTGAAATATTTTTATTACATTAATTTTGCATTTTTTTCTCAAAAACTAATCGTGATATTACAATAATGATAATAATAATGTCAAAATATTAGGTCTTTTATTTGTGTGAGGGAATGTAGCAATCGCTAAAATTTATTTTGCTGATCAAGAGTCATTAGCATGCAGCTATTCCCTTTAAGGAATGCAAATGGAAGCTAGGCAAAAATAATTCATTATTACAAAATCTGTGTGGCTTCTAAAGCCCAATGTGTCTTTATGACCAAGGCTTTGAATAACTGGGCCTTAGATTATTAACAGTGCAATGGTTGTATCTGCTGGGAACATGTTTATTTGTTTTTGAGTCTATAATATTTAAAGGTTTCTGTTGTTTGCAATTGTCATTCCTGTAATTTTTCCACAGCTGAATGTGGTTCAGCTGAAAGTAAAGTCCCAGTTCATACAGACCCATGAATGGGATTTATATACATTGATTTATCAACACGCTGAGCCAAAAATACAAATAAATTTCAGGTGTGATGGCTAACATAATTGATGCATAAAATAGTTGTCATATGTAGTTTGTTATGTGGCTTCAAGCTGCTGCTGCTGCTGCTGCTGATGATGATGATGATGATGATGATGATGAAATGATGACACCAAACTCTTCTCTTTCCTTTCCATCCAGTTCTAAGGGGATGGGGATGGTACCAAACTAGTCTTTGCTGTCAGTTCACTTCCAGTTTACTGGAAGGCAAACAAACTGAAGATTAATCTGGACAAGGCAGAGATGTTCCTGCTCAGATGAAAGGCAGATCAAGGAATAGGGTCCTGATCCTATATGTCTCACCTTTTTAATCTTGCTTCTCATCTTTATTTAACTGCCTAAAGAGTTTCATCTGTCATTCTATAAGACTTCTTTTTCTATTTGGCTGCAGATAGGGTCTTTTTGCATTCTTCCCTAACAACGTTCCTAGATTCAGTACAGAGTTCTTTTGTACCCAGATTGTTGGTGGCAATTAGCTTACACATTGTAAACTGCTTAGGGAGTGCTTAAGTGCATTGATAAGTGGTATAGAAATGTACTTGCTATTGCTGTTGCTATTGCTATGGGAGCACAAAGACCCCCCCCCCCGCCGTGTTGGGAGGGCTCTATGTTGCGCCGGCCAAATTTAGAAGGCCGACGCCTTGATTGATTGGGGTGGAAGGGAGTCCCACCCTCCCTTCACCTCCCAACCAATCAGGGGGAATCTCGCAAGATCCCCCAGCATCCCATATAATTTTGTGAGACCAAACAGTCTAGCGAGATTTTGGGCAGGATTTGGGGATTATTTAATCCCCGCTGCCACATGGAGGCAGCCATTCCGAGCATCGGCAGCTGAGAGAGAGGATCGGCTGCTGAGGGTTCCTGAGCTAGCGGGCATCTTCGGGCCCGGTCTCCTTCTGGGTGAGGCCAGTGCCAGCAAACATCCCTCTGTAGGGACTCAAGAACACCCGTGGGGGCTTGCCTTTGCAGAGGGAATTTTTCTCTCCAGCTGGCAGCCCACGTGGGGAGTTTCTTGCCCCTGCTTGGAGCTGTTAGGCCTTTGGTGCCTAGTGGGTGACCCGTGATGGGTCCTTTGTCCCTGCTTGGGACTTGGTGGTGGCTTATCATCCCTGCTTGGGACTGGTCAAAGCCATTGGGGCCTGCTGGGCGACCCATGGAGAGTCCTTTGTCCTGCTTGGGACCTGGTGGTGGCTTCTCGTCCCTGCTTGGGACTGATCAAGGCCATTGGGGCCTGCTGAGTTACCCGTGGAGGGTCCATTGTCCCTGCTTGGGGCTTGGTTGTGGTTTTTCATCCCTGCTTGGGACTGGATAAGGCCATTGGGGCCTGCTGAGCGGCGAGGTTTTTTTCCCCTCATCGGGTGTTAACCGCAGGAGAGTTATATTGTTGATTGGGGTTTATTGCCCTGTTGGCAACTCTTGGGTGCAGTTTCTCAACTTGCCTGGGTTTATTTGTCCCAGTTGGGACTCTTCAGATGGTTATAGGCCATAGGAGGCCTAGTGAGTGACCCGTCGAGGGTTTATTGTCCCTGTTGGGGAACCTTGGGTGTAGGTTTTTTACCCTGCTTGGATTTATTCTCTCCTGCTTGGGGACTTGTTGCATGGTTATTGTCCCTGCTTGGGACTGGTTAATACAAAGGCCTGGTTTGCCTCATTGGCCTTGACCTGCATGGTCTGTTGTCCCTGCTTGGGGCATTACAGATAGCTTTTGTGCTGGACACTCTAGCTATTCTGGTGAAGGGTTATAGTTCTTGCTTCCAACACTATAACTTCTCCCCTGCTTGGGGACTGGTTGCCTGGTTATTGTCCCTGCTTGCGATTGGTTAATACAAAGGCCTGGTTTGCCTTATTGGCCTTGACCTGCATGGTCTGTTGCCCCTGCTTGGGGCATTACAGATAGCTTTTGTTCTGGACACTCTAGCTATTCTGGTGAAGGGTTATAGTCTTGCTTTCAACACTATAACCAAGAGGCCTGGTAATTATTATAAAAAGACAAACTTTGCCATTATGCCATGTAGCAAGGCACACTCCAAGCGGCATGCGGTGCCTGCTGGACCTAGCACCGGCCAGTCGGTGCCTAAGCGTTTAGCCAAAGCTCAGGGTAAGGAGAATGAGATTGTTCTCCACCTGGCCCAGTTGGGATGCACAATGCAAACTTGTGTAGCTGTGTGTGAACAACAGGCACAGAAGGGAATCTGGGGGGTAGTTCTAGAACTTTGCCTCTTCCAGCTTTAAATGAGGACCAGCTTGTGGCACTACAACCTACACAGGTGCAGGAGGTATCCTCACCTGGTATCACAGCAGGCAATTTATCACATAGTGACGAGTCTTCAGGTATAGAGGGTGGGCAGCCAACTATAGCTGATGTGATGGAACTCATGGAAAAGGTTCCAGGTTTAGTACAATAAAGAGCAGCAGCCACTGCGTCAGCGCAGCCTACATTGTCTGATCTGTATAGCTTAGTCCAACAGGCGATGGTTTCAGGTAGGACCAGCGGACCGGGGGCTAAAACCCCTGAGCAATGTGGTGGGAGGTGCTTCCTCCACCCTGCAGTATAGCAGCCGGGCATCGGTTACATCACACTCGGCTGGAGGCACTCAAGCATCAGTGGATATCCTGCACCAGGCGGTGGGCTCAGGTGTGTTCCCCAAAAAGACTGGTTTTACAGGTTTTGAGAATCGGCTTCGGATGCAGCAGTGCAACCTTTGACAGTGCCAACCCATCTGTGGAGCCTTGGAGGATAGAGATCAAAAGGGCAATTCAACATTCTGTTGCCACTTCCACACACAGGTCATACCAGCTTGCGATGCAAGCTTTTAGACAGTTTTTGTTGGATGTTGGGAAAATCGAGGTT